CCCCCCCCCCCCCCCCCGGTTCTTCTTTCTCCTGGTGCCTGGCAAAGGGCTGGGCTGCTTCTGCCGGCCGTCGTCTCCCCCATCTTGAGACGGGAATTCATGCATCAGCCCCAACTCGCCAAAACCTCCCCGGGTCTGTTGAGCCACTTCCCTTCTGTAATATTTGTAGATTCTCCTTCGCAGGAAACCTCCCCACCAGCACTCGGCTTTGCGGCTGCCACTGAAAAATGTGTGTGTGTCTGTGCTAAGCCAAACTCCTGCTGCTGCACTTCACCCACCTTTTCTGCCGGCCTCTTCCGTTCCTGCACAGGAGCTGAGTGGTTAGAGCTGCCCCTTTGCCACCGTGCTGCTCTCCATGTGCCACGGAAAAGGCTGCCCTGACTCAGTTCTTGATCAAAGGGGGGGGGGTCTCCGATGCAAGAACGTTTGGCCCTTCCTCTCAGTTTAGGGAAAAGGCGAACTGCGTTTGGGGGGAGGGGGAATTGAAGGGAAAGGGCTAGAAAGCCGCCAGCAGGAAGTTTCAGCCGGAGGAATGCCCTATTAACTCAAGGAACTCTCTGCCACAAGACACGGAGGGCAGGAAAGAAGTTAAAGGAATTGGGGGGCCAGCAGCCCCTGGGCAGAGTGGCATCTCCGAGGCCTTTTCCTGGTCGGACGCCCTGAAAGGATCTCTCTCCTTTCGGAAGACGGCACCTTCTGCCCCGAAGCTTCCACCGGATTCTCCACTCCTTCTCACCACTCTTTCTCCCAACTGCAGGCGCGGGAACGAGCCGGTGTCCTTCGGCCCCCCACGCCGATCGGGGGGTGCTGGTGGCGGCAGGCGGTCGGTTGAAAATGCTGCCGAAGGCTCCGAGGAGGAAGGAGACGCCCGGGACGCAAACTTCAACGGAACAAAACCCAGCGACTAACCAGCTGCCCCCCCACCCCGCTTGCTCGTTTGGCTGCTGCCCCAAAGGAAAGGGGGGGGCCCTTAGCAGCACTCTAGGCCGCTTCGCCTGCCCCAAAGCCACGTCCTCTGACCACAGCTGCCTTTCCTCCCGCCGCCGTAGACACTCTTAGCCGTGGTGGCCTGTCGTAGTCGCGCAGCTGCCTTTCTGCAAGGGAGACGCCGCCGTGCCTGGGCAACCAGACCAGGGCCGCCCCCCAGAATTGCTCCGTACCCCTAGGAGAAAGCCCACTTGCCTTGCTCCCCCCCCCACAAATTCTTGTGCTTCCCTGTTGCTTCCAGACTTTCAGAAGGCACCCCAACATTTGCCAAACCCCAAGTGCCTTTTTGAGTCACTGCTTTGAGTGGGAGTGGGTGGGAGGGAGGGACCGGACGAGAAAACAACTCTCACTACTTGGGATGACCTTTGTGCTTCACACACACACACACACACACACAATTAATAAAGGTTGTTAAAAATCAGAAGAGCCCGAGTGCCAAGTGTGCAGGGAAGCACCCCAGGGACAGCTCACAACAGGGTCTCTTCAGGCGGAGGACTAGAAACTTGCTACCTTTTGGAAAGTATGTTAGAGGAAGGCTGCTTCTTGTTTTTGGACCAAGTTTGCAGGGAGGTTCCTTGCTGCCAATTCGGTTTGGTTCCAGCCAAGAAAAACCAATCTGGAGACAGCAGTTTTGCATGGCAAACCAGTTTAATAACTGCCCTCCCAGACCCCTTTCCCGGTGCACAAGAGCCCCCCCCCCCCAAGAAACCTCCCTGTTGGAAGAGGAGCCTCCCCCCCCCTTCAGACAGGGATGGAGGCACCAGGGAGACCCTTTGGATGGCAGACTTCGAATGGGTTGGACTACAACACCCATCGCCTCAAGGCCTTGTTGGCCAAGGATGAGGGGAGCTTTTGTCTCAAACCTCTGGAGTGTACCAGCTTGTGCTTTTTAAAATTCATTCGGCAGGTGCACCTGCCAGGCCCCCTCCTCTCCAGCAGCAGACAAAGCTGGTGTCGCTGAGCTTCCTGAGACCCCGACCCCTTTTGCCAGGGAGGGTCCCGTCAGGAGGGGCTCCTTCTCGGCAGCCGCAGCTTCGGAGGCCCCAAAGATGCACTTGGGGTGCCCAGAAATGCTGGGTTAGCACCCGCTGCCCCCATTCAAGGACAAGGACCTTTGGGGCCCAACGGGAGGCAGGCAGGGCAGGGGTCCGAGGCAAGGAAAACCGGCCTCCGGCCCTCCTGCGAGGTACTTGATGCGGCCCTTCAGCCTCCTGGGACCCAAGACGGCTCCCTCTTCCTGCGGACGCAGCCAGCTTCCCTCTCGTTGCTCTCCTCTCTTCCGGCTGCTGGCCCCACGGTCCCTCAGAAGAGCCCCTGGGCTGCCCCCTGGGCTGGAAGGCCCGCCGGCCCGGCAAGGTTGGGTGGCCATGGACCTAGATCCACACTCCTGGCCAGCCTGTGGGATCAGAAGGGGTCACTGGCCTCGGCGCCTGCGAGGGAAGGCCCAACTCGCCCCAGACGAGGAGGGGGAGGTTAGAGGGTGCCACATACGCCCCTGGGTGGGTCAGAAGAGCCGGTCCCCCTCTTGGGACGCCCAGGATTCGAGCTCTCCTTCCCCAATTTCCTATCAGGCCAGCCTGGTCCCCTCCCAGTTTCTGGCCCACCTGGAGGGCGCCAGGTGGCAGAAGGCCGTGTCTGTGGGCAGCTTCACCCCGTTCTCCTGGGAGCCCTGCCATGGGGCTGCTCCCTTGCCGCTCTGGGGCCTCCCCCAAGGCCTGCAGATGCCAGGCAGACTGGCCCCGGGGCCCGATCCAGCAGGGCGCTTCTCCGCTGGGACTAAGCAGCCGGGAGTGGCGCATTTGAGCCCAGGGCCAAAGCCTTTAAATAGAAAGAAGGTGGGGGTGTTTTACTCCCCCTGGGTCAAACTCTGGGCCAAGGCAGGGTCTCCGGGAACGGCCGTCTTTCCACAAACAGGCTGAGAAAATCTGGGCTTGAAGGCTCAGCTGACACCCATTCGATTCTAGCACATCCGGGGGACAGGGAAGTGTGGAGCCCTCGGCCACTTCTCGTGGCTCACTGCCTTTAGAGCCACACGGACACGTGATTTCGGCAGTCCCCCCCCCGTCCCCCCCGCAGGGAGGAGGGTTTCCTGTAGACTCACCCCTGGGGCAGGTGGGGGCCGCTCAGCCGCCTCTCGAACCCGTCCCTGCCCAAGTAGGGGGGAGGGGCCGCTGGGCTCCGGCACAGACTCTGGTCGTAGACGAAGTTTCGGCAGGAGGCCAGTTTAGATTCCAGGGCCTGGGAGCAAAGACCGCGCTGGGTCAGCCTGGATCCCACTGCTTGACTAGGGATGGAGGGCGAACACCCAGCTTTTCCACTCGCTCCACCCAAGACCCAAAGGCTCACCCCAACTTTCTGCAGGAGGTCCCCCACGATGTTCAGTGCTGATATCCGTGCGGCCGGCGTAAGCGGGGCTCCCCCAGATCCATTCTCAAAACCTTGGTTAAAAAGGAGGCGTTCTTTGCAAAGGGACCGGATGCTCTGTGGATTTTAGATCTTTCTAAGGATCCTCCTCTTCCTGAAGTGATTTTGTACCAAGACTTTCTATCCTGACTCCGTTCCAGGCCATCAGTGACCCCAGCCACCTTCCCCACTGGGAGAAGGACGCTGGGCGTACTGGGCCTGACACGCAGCTGTGTCTTCCCCTTCCACACCAGGGGGCGCTGTTGCTTCACAGACTGTACTGGGCAAGTAGAAAGAATGTGTGTGTGTGTGTGTGTGTGTGTGTGTGTGAGAGAGAGAGAGAGGGGGGGGGTTCACCTCTTCTGAAGGCTCCTGGGGTACTAAATCCGAAGCTCAGCCCTTGGGGGAGCGCAGGGGTGGATGGCCTGGAAGAGGCGGCCTGCGTGGCTGTGTCCGTCCGTCTGGCTGCCAGGGATCCGTCCACCGAGGCCTTCGGCTTCTCCTGCTTCTGCTGCACAGCCAGCTCTTGGCGCAAATCTAGGGGGCCAAAGCAGCTCAAGGGGGAGGCACCCCTGCCCGGCCTGCCCCCTCTGGGCCTCGGCACCCCACAGGGCTCTGAAGGTGGCCGGGGAAGCGTGGGACTAGCGGGGGGGGGGGCTCCCTCCTGCCGTTACAGGGCTCGAAGTGGGTGGCTGCCAGCCCTGCTCCTCTTCCCCCTCCGACGTTCCTCCCTGCAGGCCAGCCCAACCGCAGGGCTTTCCAGCACAGAGAGCGGCTGGGAAGCGCCAGAGTGCACACCGGAGAGCTGCCCACCTCTCGCTTCGTCCTTCAGCCGCTGCACTGACTCCAGGAGGCTCTCCTTCTCGTCCAGCTCGCTCTCCAGGAAGGCGTTGCGCTCGATGGCCTCGTTCAGCCGCAGCTCAAAGTCCTCCAGGGACATAATGGTGGCTCTGCAAGGAGCCCAGGCGGAGCTTTAGCACCCCCCCCCCCCCCAGCCGGCCCCCCGCACCCCCCCCCCCCCCCCCCCCCCCCTCTGCCCAGGGCACCTCTTGGCCCTCTCCAGGTCATCGTTGCACTGCTCCAGTTCCCGGATGTACTTCTGCAGCTGGTCCCGGGTGGCCGTCACCTGGCCCAGCTCTTCCTCCAGGGCCGAGATCTGCCGCTGCCCATCGGCATGTTGGCTGGCAACCTTCTCCTAGCCGCAAAGAACCAGGCAGAGCAAGAGCCACTCACAGTCTGCGCCAGTGGCCTTGCCCCCAGCCCCCACCCCCCCAGAATAGGGCTCTGAATGCCAACGCTGCCCAAGAGGCCGCCCCCTGGCAGCTGCTGCAGCTTCAATGGGCCTCTGTTCCAGCCCTGATCTGGGGGTGGGGGCAAGGGGGGCACGGATGAATGACCCAATTGTCCACATGGCTTTCCGTCCGAGGGCTGCTTCAAAACAGGACCCCAAGCACTTTGGGCCCTTTGGGGAGGGGTGGTGTCCCTTTTCCCTCCCCTCCGCCTTTGCTGAGCCTCGCATTACCTGCCCCCGCCCCCCGTTTCTTCCCACAGCCCCCAGAAGCAGCCAATTTCCCCTGGACAAACCCTGCCAACGCCCGGAGAGCCCACAAGGGCAAATCTCAACCCTCCAGCTGAAGCCGAGATGCCCACCTTTGTACATTTAGGTGCCCTGGAAGGCCAGCATTGGCCAGGCCACACCTGCACCACACAGCTGGACCCCCACTACCTGCAAACGTCCCAGACGGACCTCTCCCCCTCGGCTGCCAGGGGGCCTGGCATACAGGAGTGCCCCGACCCCTCCTCACCTTGACCGTCTCCACCTCCACCTGCAGCCGGGCGTTCTCCAAGAGCAGGTCCCGGTTTCGCGTCTCCAGCTGCTGCAGCTGCGTCTCCAGCTCGGCTTCGTACTCGCGGCTGCCCTCTTGGAACTCACGCAGCTCCTCCTGGGCGCTCTGCACACTGAGGGCAAAGGGGGCGGGAGCCGGTCACGCCGACCGCCAGGCTGAGGAACCGGCAGGTGGCTATGCCCCACTCCGTGCCTGCCCAACGCCTGGCAGCGCCACTGCTCGGTGCCCGGGGAAGCCGGAGGGGCCCCTTACCACTGCTTGTATCTGCCAGAGAGCTCCTTCCAGTAGCTGATCTCGTCTTCGGCAGAACCAAACAGGCTTCTTTCGGGGTCAGTCATGGTAGCAGCCACCTGGCATGGTCTTCCTGTGAATCGGGGGGGGGGAGAGCATTGGGCGCAGGTTGGTGCAGAGCCCACCACACACCTGACAGGACCAGCTTTCCGGTTGAAATAAGCCACCCAGGGCAACATTCCTCCCAGCCTCAGGGCCTTACGATCATCTTATTCCTTTAAGATGCGCCTCTAGAGAAAAGCAAAGGCACTTCCTAGACAGCAGGCCGGGGTGGGGGGTGGGGGGTGGGGAACTTTGGGAAGAAGCACTTGGGCTTGTGGCTGGCCTGAGAGCTCATCATGCGGCTCAACTGAATAGGCCTCCCTCTGCTCCTCCATCGCAGCTGCTGAGCCAGAGGAAGAGGCTCAACTGCCAGGGGGGCGGCAGCAGCAACCAAGACACCATAAACTTATGGCTTATGGGTTAATTTAAAGATGAACCATTGGTATCTCTGTAGATTTTGCTCCAAACATGATTCAGAGGTAAAAGAAAATGTTTTACTTCTACCCATAAATGTTTGACTGCACCTCCCCTGCCAGAAGGCCTCTGATTGGGGGGGGTGGTGGTCTGAACCCGGCCAGAGAAAAAGGAAGAGTCCCTCAGGAGCTGGAGGGCCCAGGGAGCCAGGAAGGGGCCTGGGCAGACCAAGGCAACCTCCCGGCCAGCCTGGCACTGCTCTAAACCAGCCCTCCCCCCCGCCCTTCCCTCCCCAAAGGGCCACGGGGGGGGGCAATGCCATCCCCGGAAGACCTTCGGCCAGTTGCCTCCCATGGACGGGGAGCATTCAATTGCCCGGCGCTCCCGAGCCGTCCGGAGGGCTGGCTCCGCGGGAGGGCGGTGGCGTCCCAAACGCTTCTTCCTCTGGGCCGGGCCCGGCCGTGGGGGCATCGGGCACACCCTGGTCAGCTTCCGCGGGTCCCTTTCCCAACCGCGCTGGGACAGCGGGGGTGGCCGTGGACGGTGTCGGGGGGCCCACCTGCAAGGGCTCGGGGGGCGGAGCGGCCGAAACGAGCCCACCGGTCAAGCGAGGTTCGCAGGGCCCCCTTCGCTCCGAGAGCCGCAGGACCGACCTCCCGGCACGGCGTTTGCCTCTCGGGCGGGGCGGCAAAGGCGAGCTCTCCTGCGGCGAAGGGGGGCCAGGAAAGGCGACCCTCGGCCTCTCCAGCCCCCCGCAGAACGCCGCTGGGAGAGCCTCCCCAGCCCCGTTTCCGCCCCTTCGGCCGCCACCACTCACCCTGCCTGCAGCCAGGAGAAGCCGCCGCCGCCGCCGCCGCCGCCGCCCCGCTCCGCTCAACTGCTGGCAACTCTCGGCCCGACCGAAACAACCCAAGGAGCCTCTGCGCAGCCTCCCATTGGCTGCCGGTCACGCGACCCTGCCGCGCTCCTCCAATCGGCGCGGGCCGATCGAGCGTTGAAACTTTTGTGTCTTGCCTGGCTCCCGCTCCCCTTTTTCTCAATGGGGGAAGCGCGCGCGCGCGGGCGGGCGGGAAGGAGGGCGGAGCTGTCGGCAGCGGCCAGCAACGGCGGAGCCTCCCTCCCCCAAACCCCGCGGGGACCCTCCCGCCAGCCCTTGGCCCCCATGCTCGGCTCCCGCGCCCAACTGTTGGCCCTGCACGGCCAGAATGAGGGGATTTGTAGTAGCCCAATGCAGCCGGAGGGGGGCCGGACAAAGTCTTCGTCGCTTTGCTCGGCTGATTAACTCAGCCCCACTCCAAAGCAGATCGGTGCCAAAAGATGAGCCAAGAAAGCCGGGGTGTTTGCCAATCATTCTCCTTTCTTTCCTGAAAAAGAAGGGAAAGGAGATTCCCCCGTTGTTGTTTGGAGTTTGGCAGGGACTTCAGCCCAGCCTTTTTTATCCCTCTACTGGCCCGCTGGCCTAGGGAGGGTAGCCTTCGCTCCCTCCCTCCCCTTTCCCTGGCCTGCAGGCAGCTTCGCCCAGCTGGGGGGGGGGGGGGGAGGCAGCCCTCAGCTTATTTTCCAGAGTTCCAGTTCGGGTGAACAAACCCAGGTCCAGCTCCCTCCTCGGCCTGGAGGAGCTGCCAGGAAAGCCAAGCTGGAATGCAGGAACTCTTCTGTGGAAGCAAAGAGGCACTTTGGCCCTGGGTGGAGGTAGCCCCAACTCCCTTCATTCTCCTCATTCCAGCTGCCCACTGAAGGGTGACTAAGAATGACCAGCACTTTTATGTGGAGCCCATGTCAATTGCCGGCATGTGGCAGGAACAGGCTGGACTAAGCGATGGCCAGGTGATCCCTGTCAAATGGGCTCTCCTCAGGTCAATACTGAGCCCAACATTTCCTTGGGTGTCCCCTGGCCTCCATCCTGCACCCCAATGTGACTCTGTCGGTCCAAAAGACCGGAGGTGGCTCAACAGCTTCACTTCCTGATGTTGCCAGGCAGGCCTCTTGAGTGGAGGGAGGCCGATTCCCTCGCCCTGAATCCCAATTAAGATGCTGAGCTAATTCATGGGTCTCTTCTTCCTTGTAAACCAGGATCATAACAACCTGGTAATTAACTGTGGCTCTTCCTGTTTGCCAGGATGCCGCCTCTCACTCCCTGCCCCTGAAGGAAGCACAGGCCAGGAAGGCAGGGGTGGGGGTGGGGGGATCCAGGCCTCTCTCGAATTGCCGTCCTCATTCAGGAGAATTTCACTGTATGAAGGGGGAGACCTGGGGGTCATTGCTCCCCACCTGGCTTGGGGGGGGGAGCTGTGGACAAAGACCCCTTTGGGCAAGGGGTCTCTGAGTCAAAGCACAGAAGGAGGGCATTGAGGTTGCCTTCCCAGCGTGCGATGAGACAGGCAGAAAAGCCGGTTGTCTAATTTTAGCCTGGTGTGAGCGTTGAAGTCAAGATTAAATCCATGTTTCATCTCATTACTGTCTAATGCGTTCACATTCCTTCCTGAAATCTAATAGTCTTAAAACATTTAAAAGCTGATTTATTCACACCACAGCCACCCACTTCCTTTCCCTTCTTTGCCCCTGGAAAGGTTTTTTGTTCCAAATAGGGCTACCTTGGGTGGATTCTCTCCCTCCCCTCCCTCCCTCCCTCCCTCCCTCCCTCGCTTCTTTCTTTCTTTCTTTCTTTCTTTCTTTCTTTCTTTCTTTCTTTCTTTCTTTCTTTCTTTCTTTCTTCCTTCTTTCTTTCTTTCTTTCTTTTTTTCCTTCCTTCTTTTTCTTTCCACCCTTGAACACAACCAGTTGACGGGCAGAAGGAGCCAGGCCACTAATGGGGACCCAGAGATGGCTGGAGGACAAGGAGAGGCAGATGAGAGCTGAGCTGACCTACCGTCCAGCCTGTCCTCTGGCCCTTCTCGCCAAGGGCAGACATTTCTCAGCCAGCCCCCATGGACCAGCCTTCGGTTTCTGAGGGAGAACGACTGGCAAAAGCTTCGCCCAGGAGGGGGCAGCACCATACAGAGGTGCCTCTTTGGACGCCTGAATTTCTTTGGAAGCTGAGTAATCTTGGTACCACGGCTGCTTTGGTAATTTCTGCCTCCTGTGTATGTACAGCTGCTCTTCTGCAGAAGCAGAGCCACAAATAAGCAAATGAATGTCACTGCTTTCCCATTTCCTTCTCTGCGACAAACCCTCCCCAATGTATGTGCGCTCAAAAGGTCCACACCTCAGCACGATGTGCTACAAATCCATTGGTGATGTCCATTTTGCTCTCCGGATTCATGGCAACTGAACCCTAAGCCTAGGCAGGGTTGCCCCCCAAGGGGGTGTCTGCTTTCTGCTACCAGGTAGCAGGGGTGAGTGCGTGAGCCATGAGTTGCATGGAGGTTGGTGGCCAAAGGACGTCCATCTCTGCTGGACTCTCTTTTTCCCCTCCCCCTTCTGGGTCTCCGGGGGAGAAACCTCCTTTGCAGTGCTGAATGGCTGGAGGTATCTATGGTGCTCAGTCGTGCTCACCTGGAGCAGGGGGGGGGGTCTTCACACCTGACAGCTGTAAACCTTGTGGACTCCCAGGATTCCTCCTCCTCCTCCAGTCACGTTAGCTCAGGGATTCTGGGAGTTGAAGTCCACAAGCCTTAAACTTACCAAGTTTGGAGACCTTTGACCTAGAGCCGTGATGGCGAACCTATGGCACGCATGCTGGAAGTGGCGCGCAGAGCTGTCGCCCAGAACAGATCCACTTGCATGCGCCTCCTGACTGCCAGCTGATTGTCAAGTATCTGTGTGCACGTGGGGCGGGGTCGCGGGCGCAGGCGCAGGGGGCAGGATGGTCACACGTGCGTTGCATTATGGGTGCACTTTCAGCACACGATGACAGAAAGCTTAGCCATCACTGTCCTAGAGGGTCCCGTGGTCAGAAGCAGCCTGTCCCCTCGGCGGCAACCATGACCTGGCTGCTTCTTGGCTTTGTGGGTGGACAGAGGCCCCCCCCCCAACCGAACAGGCCTGTCAAAGGTTTCCTCAGCTTTGGGAGTTTCCAAGGTTTTCCTTGGAAGGAGCCCCCAGCCCCTCCCCCTCCCTCCTCTTCTATCTTTCCCACCTGGCTGGACTGCAATGTCCACCCCCTTCAGCCCAGCTCGGCCGTGACCAGGAGCCCCTTCCTGTGTGAGAGAGACCCCCACCTCTTCCAAGGAAAGCCTGGCGGGTCCTCCAGGGAGGAGGTGGGACTTCCATGGGATTCTGGGACCTGCAGGGGCTGGTCTGCAGTCCAGCTCGTCTTTGTCACTTTCATCTCTGCGTGGTTTCCCTGAAATCAACCATTTCAGAAAAGAAGACAGAAACCGCAGTTTCAGTCTTTCTGGAGGATCAGAAAGCGCCTTCAGGAAACAGAAGTGACTTTGATGCTGGTAAGCGCAGCACCCTGAAAGTCTAGATTTCTTCTGAAGCGCCTCCCACAAGAAAAGTGAATTTTTTAAAAAACATCTCCATGGCAGGTTGTGTTGCAACCTGGGTCCCTGCCTTGTTGCAAGTCAGACAGAGCTAGTCCACCAGTCAGACATCCAACAGGTACTGATTTTCCCAGCCTGGAAACATGTTGCGATCCTGCCTGTTCAACCTGAGCCAGGGACCATTCAAGGAGGGATAAATTTCTGAAGCTCCTTTTAAAAATTGTTGTTGTTTGAAAGTTAGAAACACCCAGTTCAGGCAGAAATTTGTCCTTATAGAGTGTTTTGCTTGTGCAAACAAACACAGGAAGACTTGAACCAGCTACAAAACCTAGGTTAAAGATGGCTTGAGCATCCTTGCCAATAATAATCCAGCATTTGGAGATCCTGTAAGACTCTTGTGCGAAAAGAGGAGTCAAAAGTTGCAGGCCTTAGCCCAGTTTGCCCGAGAGCTGTGGGAAGCAAGATTCCTGGCTTAAGAGTGGCAAGAAATCCAGTGGCTCTCTGGAAGTCCTGCAGATTTGAGGAAGCAGCAGCAGCTGCAGCCTCTTTCCAGGAAAACAAAAGTAACGTCAGGGTTATCTCAACCTGATCAGCTTCTCATGGGACTTCCAGAAAAAGGTCTTCTTGGAATCTGGGACAGGGAGAAGTGCAAGGCAGGCTTTTTCCTGGAAAGCCTCTTGTGGGAGAGAGAGGGGGAGGGGGGAGCAGTGGTGGTGGGATTCAAATTTCTTACTACTAGTTCTGTGGGCGTGGCAGGGAAAGGAGACTGTAAAATCTCCAGTCAGGGGTGGGATTTGCCTCAAAATCTCTGCTCCGGTTCTCCAGGACTGGTCAGAACCGACTGAATCCGCCCCCTGGGGGGGGGGGGGGGGGGAGGAAGGACTCCTGCCAGGATCTCCTGCTTTATTTCACTGCTCTGCTGGGCCCCTCCCAGAGAAAGTGAAGAGAGGAAGGAGGGCTATTCTCTGTAAATACCACTTGGAGACCCCCACCCCACCCCTTCTTAATGAGAAGGTTTCTTGCCATTGCCAAAACCACCCTCTGCTGGAAATGAGGGACAGCCCGGAAGCCCCCTGGTCCAGACCCCTGGGAGATGATGGGAGGGGGCTGCTCATCAGCTGCCGGCCCCCTGGATACCTCCTCTGCAGGATAACCTTCAATAGGGGGGGGGGGGCTTATTCTCCGAGAAATTTGTATTGATTTATTCATCAAATGTGTGGTCTCCCAGAAGCGACTCTGGGCGGTGGGCCAATGCTCCGGAACAGCCGGGCATTCCAAAGAATTCGGCGTTAAGCAGGAAGTGGCCTTTCCAGGCTGGAGGGTTGGTTGCCAGCAGTCCCGGATGTAACGTCTCACTTCTGGGTTCTTGGGGACCGTCGCTCCTTCACCTGGTCCAGCCAATGCGGCCCCGGATCGCCTC